CACAAATTATAGTTCTAGGAAAACCAACCGCTATAACATTATAGCGGTTAATTCCAATAGAGATTCCAATGGAATTATTTGTAATGTATCTGTAAAGTGTCAGATGCACTGTATATTACAAATAAATAAAGCTACATATCCGGTTCACTGGCGATACCAATATTAATAAAACCAAAGCTCACTAGAGCGAACGAAGCGCAAAGCTACAAGTAATAACATTTCGAAATTTGTTACGCAGTCTGAGGGCGCAATTCCCCCATGCAGTTAAATTACACAACAAAAGTAAAAAAAAAGTCTAGACTTGCAGTGAAAAACATAACAGAAATGCATTTCTGTTGAGAAGATAAATTTAACGTTTTTTAGTAGCCTGTATGGTGAATCTGTTCCTTATTAATTAGTAATCTCAGAGAAATTAAAACTGATTTCTTGATTGAATGTCAAAATAGGAAAAAAAAACCCTGAAGAATAAATCAGCAATGCTATATTCAAACGCCTTCGTTAAACCTGTGGTATTTTAAACACTTCCCAACTATCTCCGACTGAAATGAATTAAAAATTGGGATCCACTAGTGCGAATTGTAACTGAAATGAACAACATTACATTGGGGGGTACCTTTCTAGCTAGTGGCAGTTTTATCATACCGCAGTGTAAATATTTCATTTTAAAATATTATTAACTGAGCACGTACTAAACAGGCCGTGGGTAAACAAAACCCGCTCCAACCGGACTACTAAAATATGCAACACGTTATAGAAAACAAAGGATTCACGCACAGAGATGAAACGTATATTGAATTGTACTATCTCGTATATGTAATTCTAGACTTCGTCACGGCATAATTTCACTGGCACATCATTTCATAACTCACGTGCAGTAAGAGGCATGCCTTACGTAAAATCTACACAAGAAAATGTTCTTAATAAAATAGGTTATTTTTAAATATTTTATTCAAATCACATTTTGAAGTGTGTTAAAAAATAACCACTTCTGAGCTTAGCCAGTACATTTTTTTTTGTAAACGACAGCTAAACATAAGCAAACCTATCACTGCTGTACAGGCATTTGTCAGCTTCACGAACAAGTCTACGCCTTTCAGTATAACCTATCATTATTCCATACAGACCACGCCTCACTTGCCCACACCTGTAGAAAGTATGAATGGCCCTAAATGTTCACGCCTAGTTCGTGTGATATATAACGGCAAGTTTATGGATTCGATTCCGAATCAAATTTAACTAAGACGGTTCGGAAATGTTTGCTTTGCAGTTCTGGAGCGCTTAACAGAATTTAACTTTTGATCTTAGGGAACGGTAACGGTAATGTCAGAGTCATGAAAATCCGTTCATCCATTCTCGAGTAGCTACACACGGACGAAGGTGGGAGAAAGCAAATTGGACCATTGTACAACTTTTGTTGCGAATAAAACAAAGATTGTCACCTAAATAGCAGTCCCGTTTGGAAAGTTGCTCACAACGAGTTTCTTAATTAAACTACATGAAACCGAGTTCTTGAGATGCTAATAACAGTGAACTAAACAACAAATTCGCGACTGCTCTTTCAACACATTCGTAGCAACCCTCAGTATCGTGTTTTAAAGTCGGATTTAGAACCGAATGAAGGCAAATATATCATGTGCATTTCTTTGAACCGGTGAGTAGACTGAGGACATTACCGTCAAAGTCATTCTCGATTCGCTAATTGGTCTTTCATTCTGATGATAAAATCCGTACGTTAGGCTGCAAGATTTAACTCTCTCAGCTTTCGGAATGGATGTCGAGGTCCGCAGTTAGAATCACAATCAGTTGCCATGAGAGTTTTCATTATTTGATTTTAGTTTCTACAGGCCTTCAAATATATAACGACTATCTCATACAAAATCCTCATTCGCTGTCAGTCGACCCTTCTCGTTCAAATCTACAAGAAAGTTTCACTCCGTGTTACAGAATCTTCTTTTAGCAGTCAGTTATAAGGATCATCGCCGCCCATTGCAATATGTTATTTCTTAGAAAGCCAATTAATTTCATTGTTTCCATTAACATGATTGTCAATTAATTATTTCCTCAGAAGGCAGTTTCAAGGTCGTAAATACCAGAATAATACGGTATAAAACTGTAGGCCATGTATCCAAACTATGGCGATTATACATAAATCATTTATCCTCCAAGGATTGCTTGGGTAAGCGACTAATTTGCAAGTACATTATTCAGAACTCACCTGGCATCTATCCGGAGATAGCAGGATATATATGACCTACAATACTCGACATAACTCATCATTCCCGCCCAAAACTAATAGTAAACTACACTTTGTCCCATCGTTAAGGATATATCACTAATGAATAATGAAATAAATGTTGTTTCCAGACCATATATCAGTGTTTTAAGTTAGAAAATTTGAAAACAGACAGGTTGGAAAAAGAGACAACATTATTTTGGAAGAAGATTGGTATAGAGTGTACCGCCAGGTTAGCTTGATTTCCTAGCCTACGGTTATGGATCACAGGAATACAGAAAGGCTGACCATCCAAACCTGTCAAAATGACGGCTTCAAACACGACACAGAGAACAAACAAACTACTGCTTTGTGTGTTTTACCTAGCACAATTAAAACACATCACCTACTCTTCCCCGACTCAAGTCCTATCGTCAGAGGCAACTAAATATAACAGATCGTAATCCAATTTCCACCCTTTTTGCAGCAGAGTTATTTTCAAGAGAAAGAACACAACAGGGCAGTGGAATGGACGGGATGCTGTAGCCAGGGGAGGTGGGCAAAAAGAAACATGGGCCATTTGCCCCTGTTTCGCAAAAACAACACTCACTGTGTTGTCGACTAGGTCTGTTCACGGTGCAATGAGATTCAAATACTTTGGTATCGAAAAGGCCGAATAATCGATACATTATTGTAAATCGTTAGAAAGGTTCCTCATCGTCAGTGTTCCGATCAGCGTAACATCAAACTGGAACTGTCTGGGTTGTTAACATGCGGCATTTGAATCACTCATAACAAAAGGCAAAACGAGACAATGAAAACTGTTCAATTTGCAAAACGAAACATCAGCTAGAATTATTCGTAAATTACAACTGGAAGAAATGTTATGTAGCATTTACGCCGAACAGATACTTTCTGTTGAAATGAGTTCTTGAAATGTGCGGTTAAGTAACCATTACGTACATACTAAAGCGAGAGTAAACAATAACCTACATTGTTTTATGACATGTCCTATGGAGAAATAGTTTTTCGGTAATAAACTTGAATACTCTACACTACACCGAAAGAGGGGAATAAAAATAAAACAGTAAAGCAAAATAGAAAACGATACACGAAAATCTAATACAACGCCTTTTGAAACAAATTTATATTGTGTAATGTTGTCACGGTCGAAGACAGTCGCCAATATTCTGAAAGTGGATGTTTAAGGCAGTCGTGAATATCTAAGCGCATGCTTTAAAAAATACAAATTAAATATATAAACCAACTTATAACAGCTGTATGATATTATGTCCCCTGAAATGCAACGTTAGTGCAGATGAAACTAGAAGGTTTCAATAACGGGATTAAGTTTAAAACTGGAAGGAAATTATATCTAGCGCGAGATAACAATCTAGCACATAACAACATAGTAAATCTCTTCTCTATCGGACTGACTAAATACTGTTATTTTGATAATATAATTTTATTTTCCCGCAGAAGGAGCTCAGAAACCCTTTCCGACATTCCTGTAGCTTGTCTCCATTTCAAATTAACTAGTATGCGTTTTTTATTGCATAGTAAAAGTGTAGTTTGAGTCAACGGATTTATGAAGGACACCGGAACACATTTATGCATTATAAATGTGCTCGGCACATATTCGGAAACAAGATTCCACTTATTTCCTCGTTTATATCCGGATTTATTACTTAAATACCATATCTCTCTCCAGTCACCCACCAGCAAATAAATTGTGTACTCGCGTCTGTAAACACAGTACCACAAAACGTTCCTCCGTGACCATTAACTCTTTTATGACATAACCTCAAACCACCCCCCCCCCACATTGGACGATTTGTGTGGAATTGAAGTAGTAAATATAAACTGTTTTGTTTGAAGATGTCTGTCTTCTGGGTTGTTGCGTCGTCGGTTCAGAGGTCCTTGCTGCCTCCATTATCAGGGCGATGATGGAGACAGAAAGAGCCTCTAAAATTTCGGTAAACTTCAAAACCTCAAATCCTACATACGGCCTGTTTGACATTTTTTAATAAAACGCTGAAACGAACGACGAAGCAAAACTGTTACTATTGACATAAAAAAATAAAAAATTGTTATAATTTCATTTATATTCGGCAGCAAATGCAAACAATGTATGTGGCTTGCAAAATGATCCCTCAGAATATAATTTCTTTTTAGGTAACTTTGAGAATCGTTAAGTACATACCTTAACACACCATGGCCAACCTGGATGCACGAGGGACTTACATGGCCAGAGACCACTTATAATCAGGCTCGAGAAATAATTTGTTAATAATTTACTAGTTCTGATATTTTCGGATATGTTTAGACACATATAACCACAACATTCTTAAGTCAACATACAGAATGTACAATTTAATACGCAACCCAGAAACAATGAAATCAGAAGCAACCCCTCCCCCCGGTCAATTAGAATAGGTTCTCAAACTCCGAAGTGATGGACAACTTGAAGTCATCCTAATTTCTAGCTGATGGACAACTTGAAGTCATCCTAATTGCTAGGCCGCTGCTTAAGCCAGTTGCAAGAAAGCTGTGCAGGTTCTAATATGTTGTGTTCGGGAAAGGAACGAGTGGTCATTCTCGAATGTTACTTCATATTGAAATCGTATGCTGCTGTATAGTTTTCCTATAGTTGTTCCTAATGAATAAAATCTCAAAATCAAATAAATCGTGTGTCTTGTCATAATGGTATCGATAAAGATTACAAATACTTATGTAGTTAGGGATAAGTTTAAATGAAACACTCTTCAGTAAGAAATTTAACACTTACTTCCAGACTAGGACTGAAGCAATGAGTACCATGGCAAGTAGCAGCACCGAGCACACGGCGATGACGGCTATCGAGGGTATAGCGGGGCTACTATGGTACTCCGCATCTATCACCTGCAAAAAAAAGAACACATGCTCCGTACTCCATGACAGTAGGTTCGTTCGACCAAAATAATGTAGCACGTCTTAAGAAAGCACTGAGTCTACTGGCGACATTAGACTGAACAGTGCACGGAGGGTTACGAAACGGGACTTTTAATGGTAACAGAGATCATTTTAAAATGAGACTGGGCTTTCAATTTCAGAACAGAATTTGACAGAACTTGCAATGATCTACTAATACCAAGATTTTTGTTTTCCACAATACAATTTTGTTCCTTACGACGACAAAAACGCTATTTCCTAGATGCTGTATGGGCTTAAAATGAGTAACTTATTAGATGATATTTGTTCCTTGATTCCAGGCACCGACACAGGAATTTCTCTCCTCGGCACTTTACTCAGACCAGCTCTGGGGCCCGCCAAATAAAATTACCTGTAAAGGTTAGGTTAGGTTAAGGCGTGGCTTCTTCAGCAACAGCAAATTTCAGCAAAATTGCTAGTACTTTCTTGAACAGCACGAATAGCAGATCTGAAGTGGGACTGTGGTTACAGAATCAGAAAGCAGATCGTGCTGTTTATCTTCAAACACCGAATAAAAAATTATATTAAGAGATTTCGCGTATTTTCAGAAATCTATTTTCGTATTTAATTTTGTAGTTACAGGAACGATTAAACCAGTTCACTTTCGTACAAAAATATCATACATTTAGCTCCACACATCACTTGAAAAATAAAACTGAATTCCTATATTTTATAAATATTTTAATACCAAGTACAAGTAATTTGACTTCAACTGTGTTTTAATTCGCTATATGAAACATTTTTCTATATGACTGTTGCCTATGCAGCGGTGAGGTTATACGGCTGTTCATATGCTGAAGAATGTGTTCTTTTGTCCGCAAAACCAATAAGTCGAGTAAAGAGCCAGAAAACATAAAAAGGGTGTTCGCGTCCATATATTATTGCAAGGTTTCTAATATATCATTGGCCGAATAGGGAAGGTCGGGGATAGTAAAAACTGTGTGAAAAATTGTGTGGTCGTCATGACGACAAAGAAAACGTAAGAATATCCTCTTCTAAGAAGGTGTGAATAGGAAAGTGAAAAGCCCAACTAACCAGCTATGTGTGTCATGCTGCTGATACAAAGAAGTCACTAGAAACCACGAAGAGGACTACAAAGAAGGGACAGAACTTATTTTTTGCAATGAAGGAGGGGAAACTGGAAACTTATTCCAGTCTTGCGGAGGACAAAGGGGTGCTGATAATAGCTCTGTGCCGACAAACCGTGTATCTGAGGTGGTCTTAGACCTGGAAGGTCTGGCGTTTGTCTCCCGAAGCCTAACCTATCAAGTAGCAGAACGGCGGAACAAATTTAGAATGAAGTTTGGAAAACATATCGAATCACGAATTTCCAGTTTCCTTGTGCGAGAATTCAAAAATATATACGCACGACACAGGTAAAACGACTCACGAATTTCCAGTTTCCTTGTGCGAGGATTCAAAAAATATATACGCACGACATAGGTAAAACGATGTTAATTTAACATCACCAGTTCGTCGTGACGTCACACAGCAGCTGCAAAACTCGGTTGAAATGTACGAATGAATAATGTAATCAGCAACGAGAAGGACAGCGTCTAGGTTTCTTTTTTTGACTTGGTCTAAAACACATCACGATACGCAGTAAAATTTTGGAAAACACTGAGTTCATGCCAACACGTGACAAAACAATTTAGCCAGGTCGGCCTAAAATCTGGCCGCGTTCAGACATTGCCTCTCCATCTTGTGCTGTGGTCGTAATTTGACAGAATTCCTGTGGCCCATAGCCAGACGGTAGTTAGGAATCTCCAAACACAGCCTACAAAAGCATATATCATGGGCTTAGCAGGGAATAGACACAAAGCTGAGGAGATAATAATGTAAGCTCACTTCGACCCCGCAACCGAAACATCGTTTTCCAAAGCAACTTTCGATTTCCTATAGCAATAAGTTCTCTTTTATAGATGTCCGATTTTAGACAGCCACATTGCTATCGTTAACTGCTTATTACTGGCTGGCGAGGTCAACTTACAGTTTGTTTGGCCCGCCTGTCGCATCCAACGAAACGTCGGTAGAGCAGATACGAAGATGGGAGACAAAAGAAATGTACTGAATACTTTAATAACAAGCACAATTAACTTTTCACTGTTGATGATCGACTGTTCGCAACATACGATAAAGAGAGGTTATAAAGAATTACAATTTAACGAGGTATCACACCATTACAGTTTCATGACCGATACAAATTTAACAAAGTGATGGCATTTTAAAAGAAAAACACAACAAGAACAATAAAATTATCTTTAGAAAGTTATATAGTGCAACTTTCCAGAATTGAAATAGGTATTTATGAAGTGTTTCTCTGAGTAGGGTGGAATGTAGATCTATTTGATGCATTTAACGTATATTTTAACATGATTTGGGAGACAGTACTTGGAATTTTAAACGGCAGAAATTAGCCTCGATACGAAACTTCTACTTTTTAATAATTGATATCTACCAGATCGGCTACTCCTGCCTTTTGTTTACAGAACTGGTTAATCCAGCGTTTCCCGGATCTTCTCTTTTTTGCTTTATATTTGTAAACTGGTGTAACTAATCTTACGTAGTTCGCTCAAGGCACGAGGTTCTGTCAGTGTTCTTTTGAACTCTTTCACATCATTCATTGAGCTTTAAACTGTCAGCTGTACTCTTCAATCTTTTTTCTTTCTACTTTTTGCCTCTTATTTTGTTTCTCTCCCCTCATTCAACACACGTTTTACGAGCCTTTCGATATAAAATATTACAGTACATAGTACATAACATGGGTTCAATTCCCGGCAGGATAGGTATCTTTTTTCGCTATAAAGATAAAACTGGTTCTAATACCCTAACAGTGTCCAATACGACGAGTACCGGGGTTTTGTTGGGGGTAAAGTAGCGGTTATGAATAAGTAGAGCTACACTTCCACTCCCCCCTTTCGTCAGAATGGCGCTGTGCTTAGTTAAGCACAAGATACAAATTTACATCCACGTGCACATTATGCTGCAAATACTAGTTTCAGCAATTCGATTAAATCAAATACTCGACTATAGATACTGTAAGTAGTGATATTATTTTGTAGGATAGTTAAATCAAATACTCGACTATAGATACTATAAACAGTGATATTATTTTGTGCCTCACAAATTCTTTGCAAGAATTACTTTTGTTCTAGCCTTGCAAAATTTGAGTCAAGGTTTTGGATACTAGTCAGGCTAACGTGGGTGTCATTAAGCGTCTCGAAAAAAACGTTGAAAAAACCCAAGGCAGGCTAAACGGTAATAACAAAATTTCGGAGGTCAACTGACTGCTATTTAGCAAACGTTGCAAAACTACAGTGTCGAATTAAATGTGAAGTGCAAGGATTCTGAAGGAGCCGACCGTAGCATGTTTCAAGGTACTATCACAGCATTCGTCTGGGGAGGCTGAGGACAGCCACGAAACCCGTCAGTGAGGACTGGTCCGGCCGAAATTGAATCCATATACCTACCTGCCAAGGTTGCCTAGCATGGAGCGTTTCATCTTGAGTAGTACAAAAAATTGTAGTAGATACTGCATAAAGAGCTTGTGTTCAATGCAACATGTATTGGAATGAGTCTGTGGTGTATCCTTAAGTAACATTAATAATGCATAAACTTCATGTTCAAAATATTCTCCATAAGAAACACATTTCATTTATCATTGGGTTTCCAAGTAACATCTTAAAAGGCTTACACTGTGTTTCTGCCGATGAATTACGGTGATGTAAGTGTTTGAGAGTGTATACTGACTAGCTACGGGCTGGACGACCGGGGTTCGATCCCCGACGGGGACAGAGGATTTTTCTTCTAGCCTCTGGGGCCCACCCAGCCTCCTCTACAATGGGTACCGGGGTCCTTTCCAGGGGGTAAAGCCGGCCGGGGCGTGATGCTGACCACTCACCCCCATCTAGTGCCGAGGTCAAGGAAGAGAGGAGCTATACCTCCACTCACCCCAAACGCCTACATGGCGTATAGTGGGACAAACTTTACTTTACTTGAAGTGTTTGAGAGTGTGAATCCAGCTCTTTATGGGTTGCCACATAAGAAAAGACCTACGCGTTTACAAAAGATGGCCGAACAAGTACCTGCCATCGTAAAATACAGAAGCCAGGCAGACCGAGTGTTCGTAAACATACTAATAAAACACAGCAGAATTTTTAGTGTAATAACTAAACTCCAGTTGAGCAGCAATTCATATCAACAACGCAATACCACGTTAAACTTAACGTTCACAGCACACCACGTAGATGAATGTGACGCAACACGAACGCAGTCTACGCGTAAATCATTTGTGACTGTTACGAGCATTGTGAATTTATGTGTGAGACTTATCGCAAGTTTGTACAGCGGTACTTAATTTGAGAGATGGAAGGCAACAGTGCTCTATTAACACATTAAACCACGCCTTTCACCACATAAAAGTAATCAAAGGGCTGCGGCTTCGAATTCCACATCGACAAAAACCAGCACAAAATTCTGTCTTCAAAATCTTGCGTTAGTGTTGGATAACTGATGTTTAAGACAATGTTGAATTGTTTATCTGTTGTAATAAGTGAACGGCTTTCGTAGGTCTTGTGTTGTTGTTATTATTTGACAAATAAAAATAACACTGTAACATTATTTATACGAGGTGCGATCGAACGGTTTCCAGACTGCGCGTATAAAAACCCGTACACTTATCTCAGGTATTAAATTCATCCATCACCCTCGAAATAGTTCCCCTGGGAGTGAACACAACGATCGTATATTCAGAGTTTCCTTTTTGTAGAGCACACACTTTTTGTATTATACTGTATAAACCACCTGTAAGTGGAGAACTTGTTGGAGACAAGTAAATTAATAAATAAGTAAATAATTAAGTAGGCATGTGAGGATATTACATAACGAAGAACCTTAAGATTTATTAATACACCTTAAGTTTTACAGTTAAG